TCACCTCTACCTCGACATCTGCCCTCATAGAATCTGTACCTTTTTCCGGAATCGTCAGTTTTTTTTCCTTGACTGCCTCCCCTTTAATAGTTTCTTCTATATATGCCTTATCTCGTCCTTCAACAGGCGTGCCTGACTCTTCAATCTGCTCATTTCGCCCTGGACGAGAATCACCCTTTTGGTCGGCTCGCTGGTCTCGCTGTTGTTGCAGGCGACACTGTGAGCTTCCGGCTCCGAGGCGCCGTCCACTGGTGCCGGCAGCAGCAGTCGGGCCTCGAGCCTGCCTCGAAAGCCAAGCACGCACCAAAAGGCGTGGACTGACGGCCGACTCGCTGACAAAGACGACGCCAAGTCGGCTGACTGTGGCCGGACTGGCTCGGGTCAGTTCATGCGTCTCGAATAGGAAGCGGGCCCCGGAACCAAACTGGATACGCTCACCGCTAGGCAGACTGAGCAGACGGTTGTCGTCAAGCACGGAATTAAGAGACTCTACCCATTCGGGGTCAATGTCACCATCACAAATGATCCAACCGGTCTCGCCTAGCTCCAGAGAGGGGATAGCGAGGATAAAGGTGAAGGGAGAGAAGTGAGAGAAGTGATAAGGCACCATCGGATGGGCTTAGCAAAAGGAGACACAAGGGGGGAAAAGGCTCAAATAGGCATAAAGTATGAGTGAATCTCTTGGATCATAATTGCTGAATCCACCTCAATTTCGAGTAATATTGCGTGATGAATAGAAACATAATTCGATCCAACGAGAATACAAAGACGGATTCTCCTTCTCTTTACCCATAACTTCTCGTTGATGCAGACCTCGAGATAAACCTCCTTCAATTCTGGTGGAAAAAAGTTAAGCTTTCGTTTTGCATACCACTGACAAACATCATCAGAATTGGGCGAATTCTTATATCTACTTTGGTCTAACGAGTCAAGAAAATTCCTTTTATTGACTTAGTACTAGATACTATAGTTTATATCTTAGTATATTATACATTATATAACATATACATACTAGCTTATAATTAATAATAACATTATAATAATATATGAATAAAAACTGCATTTCGATTAATCACTTGAGCTAAAATTGTTAATAACTTTATTTATGAGTAAAGCTAGGTTACGAAGACTGATGACTGCGACTACTAGAATATTAAGCACACTGTGATAGTCTAGTACATTTATTATATGAAAAATCTCTTAGTGATTTTGTGCAAATCGAGTTTTTATTTGAAAGCAGAAGCTGGCTAGAAGAAATTAGTGAATTGATCCCATCGGGAAGTAAAGGGTGTTGGACTGTGAGAGCAAGTCCTTAACTCACCGTCCTGTGCTGGCGATGAATCCGTGTTGGGCTTTCGTCTGTACCCCTATGGCATACGTTGCCAGAGTGATGAACCATACTTTACGAAAAAGCACACCATTACATTAAACCAAGAAGTAAGGTGGCCGGCATGCATACTTCAAGTATTATAACACATTTCCTGTAATAGTCATATGTTCAGCGAGTTTAGAGTTCTTGACTCGTAGACGTCTAGAAGCTCTGACGACATGAAACATAATGGATGAAAGCTCAGCATAAATTCATTTGAGTTTCAAGACGGTGAACTGAGTACTTCTTTACGCAATTCAAGTCAGTCCTCACTCGGTTTATAGTGACGACAATTTTCAATGAAACTTTTTTTCGAAATCAAAAGCCAAGTGACAATATATGATTGTGTGATTTTTCGAAACCCATACTTTGGGCCTAATTGATTTTAACTTAATTCTTAGGAAATAAGTTTGGAAACTAGCATTAAACCCTAAATAAAAACTCTACCCACCCTAAAGACAGCTAGTTGAATTTTCCCATAATGGTATGAGTGAGTTTCACGATGCCATTGAATTTCCCCCAGCCTAGCTTCCCAGAAGGTGTTATTATCCAGACTAAACTAGGCTGCACTGCAGTTTCGACTTTGCCTGACTCCCATCAGCATCAACAACGTGAATTGAACCCAGACATTGCAGTGTATAATTTTGACATGTTACCACTACGTTATACTGATACGAGTGCCAGCCGGTCACAGAGCAGGAGGAGACTCTAAGGAAGGCCAGACCTGCTCCATATCACATTTATTGTGTAATTATAAATTAGAAAACTTGTATTTCGGTATTGCACAACTTTAATTAGATTCATATGAAATAGCTTTCGGGAATATCAAAAGATATTTATTAAGAGTTGTGCCCTATAACCCACTGGAACTCGTAGAAATATGGCTTTTTCGTAATGTCGAAAATAAACGTTGCACGTCTTAGGCTCTATATTCCTGAGGGATGCTAATGAGACACAGACGAGGTCCAAGCTGAAGTACAGGCTAGCCGTAATGAGAATACCTTTTGGGAGGTAAGTCCAAGTTAAATTCAATGACATCGTGCGGCCGACTTATATGCTTGCGAGAAAATTCAATAATTAGTTTCCCATTATCTGATGCGACATCGGATGAATAGAACTCTTATCAGTCATTATTGTTAATAGCAGATTGATTGTCACCTCCAGAAATCTGATTGTTGAATATATGCATAAATTTTATATGATGCAATTGGATTGATAATTATTTCACATGGGACTGAAGAAAAGACCTAACTTTATATTTCGATTCCCTGCAGCACATACTCGAAAGGGTCAATTCCACCCTCAGTTGAAGGAAATTAAAACCTCTATTAAGTCTGAGTTTCAGCCTCAGAGGAGCATAAAAGTAGATATTTTTAATTCAGAGGCAAACGTAGCAATCACAAGGCAACTGTAGTCTAACCACCTTTGTTCAGATAATAAATGTAAGCTTTGATTTAAAGGTCTCCTGCGACCAAAATATTTATCTGGAAATTTGACCAGATATTATTATCAATGCTTCAGTAGTATACCAAATTCGGAAACAAAAGCACAGTATCATGCAAATATAAAATTTTTAAATAGAGTTAAATTAAGAAAACACAGTTTTTCCTTAAAATTCACGCGTGTTAAGCAACCCATCAGAGCAAGGTTTTATTTTGCTTAAGAGATAACGTGTTTGATCCCCCATCCGTATATATGCATTTCGAATACCGTTTGGTATGAGGTCAAAAGTGTAGTTCAGCCCTGATGAGAATGTTCTTTCCGGAGGGATGTACCCATTTTTACAACATTCATTCCCACTTGCCTGGTCCCAGTCGAGCCAGACTTCTCGCCGCG